ATGGGAGACCAGGAGAAGCGCCTGGCTCCTGGCCTCAACGCGCTGGCCATAGCGGCCACTTGGGGGATGAACTGACGGAAAAAGGAAGACCTTTCTCTCTGTCTCTCTCACTCACTGTATAACTCTGCCTGTCAAAAAAAATGAATAAATAAATAAAAATATTAGTGGAATTGTTGTAAATCAAGTTTCTAAGCATCATTTCAATGAACATTCTTATCAGAAGCCTTGCTCCCCACCAATACACACAGAGATGGAACGAAGTGAGCATTTGCATTCTTACATGAGCAACTAAGGAAATCATATGAAATTTTAGAATGTTTTGAACTCTGGAACCCTGGTATTGTTGGTTCCTGACTGTAGCATACTAGTAGCTGTTTTTCACAGCAAGAAGCTGTGCAAGGCTAGGGAACAAGACAAAAAAACTGCCTCTTAATACTCAGGAATGGCTTGACATTCAAAGATGTTAGGTTCTGCAAACCTTGAAAATTATCAGTTTCTACTGGGGTTTCTGTTTACTCTCAGCTTTAAAAACATTTTTAGAAGATAACAGAACTATGGGGCCAGCACTGTTGCACAGTGGGTTAAAGCCCCAGCATGCATCCCGTATAGCCTCTGGTTCTAGTCCCAGCTGCTCCTCTTCAGATCCAGCTCCACTGTGGCCTGTGAAAGCAGTAGAAGATGACCCAAATGCTTGGACCCTGCACCCACATGGGAGACCAGGAAGAAGCCCTGGCTTCTCCCATGAGAGTATTTCAGGCATGGAAAGCCAAGACACTCTGGGAAAAAAAAAAAAAAAAAAACACAACACCTAAATGAAAGATCTCTTTGAGTGAGATCCCAGTGGAAAGAACGGGCAATCAAGGAAGACGGTACCCTTCTCTGAAGGGAGGAGAGAACTTCCACTTTGACTATGGCCTTGTCTAAATAAGATCGGAGCTGGCGAACTCAAAAGGCCTCCATAGCCTTGGCAACTCATGACAAGAGCCTCGGGTGATTACTGATGTCATAAATTAGAGTGTCAATTGTTAAATCAACAACAGCAGTCACTGTGCACTTACTCCCCATGTAGGATCTCTGTCCTTAATGTGTTGTACTATGTGATATAATGGTATAACTAGTACTCAGAAAGTATTTTATACTTTGTGTGTCTGTGTGTGTACAAACTGTTTAAATCTTTACTTAGTATATACTAAATTGATCTTCTGTATATAAAGTTAATTGAAAATGAATCTTGATGTGAATGAAATGGGAGAGGGAGTGGGAGATGGGATGGTTGTGGGTGTGTGGGAAGGAAGTTATGGGGGAGAAAAAGCCACTGTAATCCAAAAGTTGTACTTTGGAAGTTTATATTTATTAAATAAAAGTTTAAAAAAAAAAGAAGCTCCTGGCTTCTGGCTTAGGATCAGCTCAGTTCTGGTCATTGTATTCAGTTGTGGAGTGAACCAGCAGATGGAAAGAAGACTCTCATTCTCTCTCTCTCTCTCTCTCTCTCTCTCTCCCCCCTCTCTCCCCCTCTCTCCCCCTCTCTGGCTCTACCATTCTCTCTGTAACTCTGTCTTTCAAATAAATAAAAACAAATCTTTTTAAAAAAAGAAGATAACAGAGCTGTTAATAACTAATTTCTAGTTTATCTGAGCACAAAGCATTTTGAATAAGTTTTTAGCTTCCAAACACTACATTAATAGTACCTATCATGTATTCCATGGGAATATAGGTCTTCACACACTATTATAAGTTCAACAGCTTACACTATATCTGTAAATACCAATCTTTATTTACATTGCCCTTCATATATCTCAAAAAATCTATGCAAAGAGATTGAAAAAGCTATCTTCTCTATATCTTGGGTGTCACTCTGGACTGTTGTCGTATGCACAGTTGCCACCCAGAGCTCCCTGGCCCCACCCAGTACACTCCTCTGGACATCTACTGTAATTCACAGGCGTTCCATCAAGTCACAGAGGCAAATTTCCAAGAACAAAGCCTCCAGCGGAGATACCAACAAGTGATTCCCCAGACGCATAAAAAGAAATATAGACATCCAAGAAACATGAACAAGGAAGACAATATGACACCCCCAAATCATTACCTTGCACACCTTAAATGTATACAATTTTTATTTGACAATCATATTTCAATAGAGCCAGAAAAAAATCAAAAAAACTAACACAGACTGTAAGATGACTGGGCTCCACGTATCTTTCTCTAATTTCCCAGGAAATTAGAAAGATGGAATGAGTAAGCCTTCTGAGCCCGAGTGCAGCACCCCAAGCATTTTTTCCAAAACCTAAGTTCCCTTGAAAACCTGGGGGTTTATTTTCAAAAGTAAAGGGACTTTTATTCTACTCCAAAATACATTCTTATTTCTGATCATACCATGTTTATTATCATTCTCTGAGGGTATGATGGGTATCCAGATTTCTAAAAATCTGTGCTGGATTAAAGAGCCACAGGCATACCAGCTTGGCTGAATAAATTATCATTCATTGGTGTCACATATTTCAGAAGCATGCTCACGCAGTAATGTGCATACAAAGGACAAATGTATCTGTATGAGTGAATCATTATATACTTATCTTTCTGTATGGGCTATTTCTGAGACAAAGGGAGGAACACCAGAAAACATTATCAAAGACAGAGTGTTAGCACAGAATTCCCTTGATATTGTTTGTGGAAAATTTGAATTCTGTCTGTATGTTGAGGGATCAAGTTGTTTTGCTGCACATAGAAAATTGAAATGCTGATCCCCTTGTCAATCTTGTATACATTTTGAAGAATAATTCATGAAACAAGTGTCTGATGTTAATCTTTGTTTTAAACCATAGGTAGTGTGATTTTCATAATGTAAATGAGCTATGTATCTTAAATATACTGCTCACTCATTTTACATAAGCATTAGACTTTATTTTCTAAAGCAATCTTGTCATGAGACATGGAAACATTTAGTTTATGCTTGTTCTTCTCAGCATGGAAAATAATTGTGATAATTAAGTCATTTCATGGGCCATTCTTTATAATTAAGACTGGTGCCATCATTGAGCACTTCAGAATGTTCAGTTTGTCTACCATTAGCCCACCTTACACATGCCGGATCTTAGAACATTCAGCTTGTCATGGCACCATTTCTATATAAAATGTGAAAATTTTAAAACAGCAATTTTTATATTTACCTCATAAAATCCTGAACAGCAGTTACCCAAATTATGCCAGAATATATCCATTTAATAAAGCAAGCTCACAAAACACAGCTTATTCCACTTTTTTATAGGATTTATCTTATTTATTTGAATGTCAGCTTCACAGAGAGAAGGAGAGGCAGAGAGAGAGGTCTTCCATCTGCTGGTTCACTTTCCAATTGGTCACAATGGCTGGAGCTGTGCCAATCCAAAGCCAGGAGCCAGGAGCTTCTTCCAGGTCTCCCACATGAGTGCAGGGGCCCAAGGACTTGGGCCATCTTCTACTGCTTTCCCAAGCCATAGCAGAGAACTGGATTGGAAGTGGAGCAGCTGGGACTCAAACTAGTGCCCATATGAAATGCTGGCACTGCAGGTGGCGGCTTTACCCGCTACACCACAGCGCTGGCCTCTCGACTATAAAACTTTTAAAAAGTGACAATTCATGGGTGAGCATTTGGTGCATCAGTTAAGACATTTGCATCCTATATCCAAGTGCCTGGGTTCAAGTTCTGGCAGTGTTTCAATTTTAATTTTCTCTTAATGTTCATCCTGAAAGGCAGCTGGTAAAGGTTCAAGTACTTGGGTCTCTACCACCCAGCTGGGAGATCTGGATTGAGTTACAGGCTCCTAGGTTCAGTTTGGCCCAACCCTGGTTGCTGTGAGCACTTGGGGAGTGAACCAGCATGAAGGCAATTTCTTTGTCTTTATCTCTGTCTCTCTGCCTTTCAAAAAGATTAAAATATTTTCAAATAAAATTATATACCAAAATAATATTTTAAAATTTAATATAGCGTTTTGCCATTCTTAAGAATCCACAAAACATGAAAGATGCAAAATGTTGATAAATACATTTGATAGCAACAGATGCATTGGGATGCTTGATGATTTCTAGGTAAACTGTGATCCTGAATCTAAAGTTTCCCCAATCAATACTGTGTTCATGCATAAATATATTTTCTTAGAAATTCTTGCCCTACTTATTTCATCATTGTGTGCTTTGAAAGTTAACATGTATTCTGATATTGTTATAAACATGGCTACAAGCAAGAAAAACCCACCATTTTCTTAATATTTATTCTTTCATAGAATTGTTATGAACACATCTGGATTATCCTTGAATTTTAGACTAAATTTTCTGTCTACATTCCAATTAAAAATAAAATGTGTTACTTGATATTTTATATAAATAAGGCATCATTTTTGTCCTGATTGCACTTTCTGACTCTAAGAGATATGTTTGCCATGCTTCAGGGATTCACATTTTCCTATACTACTTGATAATCTTGTCTCTGGCATTTCTGGATGAGACCATAAGTAAACTTTCAAGCAGTTTTTCCTACTTGTTTATGTGTTTTATCTACTACACTAACTTCTAATCAAGAATATTCATTACTGCTTGCAAAAAAAGTTCTATTTTTTCCTTAAAAAAGACATACAATTACTTTTTAAATGTTGCTACAAGAAATTTGGTATCATGTAGTAGGATGCTGTATAACTGATACTAAGAATCAGGCTTATTTATAACGTGACAATTCAGATGAAATGATCTGAAAATCCTATATAAGTGAACCCCACCATCTTTATTTTTCTAGTTGTTTCTCACTGCACACTGCACTATGGAGGAACTTCCTAATGCACATCTCACATATCCCCAGACCTTTGTGAGCCATTACACAATAATTTCTCAGTATCATTGATTTACTTTTTCCCTTATTCTTGTTTAAAATACTGAGGTAACAGGTTTCTGGCAATCTCATTGGCCATCACACATACAACATAGTTTTATGAACATAAGCATTTTATTATCTTTGAATAAATACTTACCAAATGGTATGTAAGAGCTCTAAGATTATTCTCTAGCTCCATTTCTTGGTAAAATTTCTGGGAAAATGTATTAGAAGATGAATAGCATCACAATTTTGCTCTGAAAGTCAAGCTATATTACCTGCAGTTCTTTATTTATAACACTTCAAGATGCATCTTCACAAAGTATTAGGGGGAAAGTTGGTCATGTACTGATCAAGTAGTATGCTTTGAACTTGAAGTGAACATAGAATACAGAACTCTCCAGCATCTAGTTTTTATTTTGAATTTCAGTCTAGTAGCATATTTTAATATTGTTGTTACCATAAACACATATATACACTCACACACACATATACATATGCATGAACACATACACATTCACTTAAATTATAGAGTGAACAATCTTGACTGAAATTGCCAAGTGTGAGAAAAATAGAAAATGGTGACCCTCTCTGAAGTGATTATATTAGTATAAAGACAGCATGGAGAAAATGATGGACAGAATACACAGGAAAAATAGAGAAGAGCAATTCCTCTTAGAAAAAAATGAGGGGCTGGCGCCGTGGCTCACTAGGTTAATCCTCCACCTGTGGTGCCAGCATCCCATATGGGTGCCGGGTTCTAGTCTTGGTTGCTCCTCTTCCAGTCCAGCTCTCTGCTGTAGCCCAGGAAGACAGTGGAGGATGGCCCAAGTGCTTGGGCACCTGAACCCGCGTGGGAAACCAGGAGGAAGCACCTGGCTCCTGGTTTCGGATCGGCGCAGCACTGGCAGTAGCAGCCATTTGGGGAGTGAACCAATGGAAGGAAGACCTTTCTCTCTGTCTCTCTCTCTCTCTCACTGTCTGTAACTCCAATGGTCAAATAAATTTAAAATAATGCACTTTATCTGCATAAAATTTGTTTAAATAAGTGAATGATGAGCTGGTTCATACAGTAACTTTCTGCTGTGTCAATGAACCTAGTAAAGCATTGGGTGGGATTAATTTATCCAGCCTTTAAAGAGAATATATTCATAGCATTAGTCTTTCTATCTTTGAGAGTGGATCAGCTTGGGCTTTTACAGTTACTGATAATACAAAATTCACTCAAATGACACATTTGACTTGAAGGGGAATATTTTGGCTCATGAAACTAGGTAGTTCAAGGGAGTGAATGCCAAAAGCTTAAGAAATGACTGGATCCAAAATTTTAAATGACAGCATAATTGAAGCAGTGCAGCTCCTTCTATCCTTTGCTCTGATCTGTTCTCCTTTGTTGTATTTTTATGTTCCTGTGGAGTTTGGACATGAATGCTTGATAGGGCCACTCATATTACAATGCATACCACACAGCTACATCAACATAAAGAGAGTGCTTCTCTCTCAATAATTCAAATAAAAGCCCAGGTTTTATTTCTCGGGAGACTAATTTAGACTCCGTGACCTTTGGTGACATAGTAGTTTAGGTTAAGAATTTGGATGATACTGGTTGGTTAGGCTTATGTTATCAACCCTGTATTCATGGGGTTGAAAGGATGGAGGGATAGAGGGGTAGAGTATATCAACTCTGGCTCTGCTCCAGAAAGAAAGAGTGGAGAGTAGTGACTCTTTTCCCAAAGATGGGGAAAATACATGTTATCAGGCAAAGAAATGCCAGTTAGTAAAACAAACATAAACATGAAATTACAAAAAGCAGAAACAATCCCAGAATAAGAGAAAAACAGCATAACAAGGCAAAACTATATGGTTTATCTTTCTGAATCATTTCAGAGAAATGAATAAGATTAAGGAAGCCTGACAGATTTTTTGGTAATGACCTTTTCATATTAAAATACCAGTATCATCTGGCTCCCAAGCTGCAGTAGATTTATACAGTAAAAAATGTGCTAATTTCACCCCAGGAAGCCTTATATCTCTCCTCAGATAGAATTAATGTCCCATTCTATTTTTTTCAATTCATATTTTTGCATCTTTTTAAAAAAATGATTTATTTATTTATTTGAGAGGCAGAGTTACATACAGAAAGAAAGACAGAGAGAGGTCTTCCTTCTGCTGGTTCATACTCCAAATGGATGCAACAGGTGTAACTGGGCCGATCTGAAGCCAGGAGACAGGAGTTTCTTCCAGGTCTCCCATGTGGGTACGGGGCCAAAGCACTTGGGCCATCTTCCACTGCTTTCCCAGGCCATAGCAGAGAACTGGATCTGAAGGGGAGCAGCTGGGACTCAACTGGGGCCCATATGGGAGGCTGACCCTGCAGGCGGAGGCTTATAACCTACTACGCCACAGTGCTGCCCCCTATTTTTGGCAGCTTAAATGTATTTAGTAACTATCTTATCTATTATCCTGCTTTTCCTTTGTGGATGCCATTGCAAAAAATGATCTTTTGAAAATTATACGTAACTATCATACCTATGTATCTATTATTATACTACAGAGAATGGAATTTTCTGCCTATGTTTTAGTTTTTAAATTATTTTGGGAAAGTGATGAGATCATCACATTCTTTGGAGATTCAGAGGGTGATCATATTTCTTTTTGCTTAATGGAGATGAAATTATACACTAGATAAGAAATTCTTAACTAGGTTGCAAACTTGCATTGCAATTCGTTTCAGATATAATCATGGGGCCGGCACTGTGGCATAGCAGGTAAAGCCACTGCCTGCAGTGTCACAACCCTTATGGGTGTCAGTTTATGTCCCAGCTGCTCCACTTCTGATCCAGCTCTTTAATATGGCCTGGGAAAGTAGTAGATGGCCCAAGGACTTGGGCTTCTGCACCCACATGGGAGACCTGGAAGAAGTTCCTGGCTCCAGGCTTTAGATCAGCTCAGCTCTGGCCGCTGAGGCCATCTGAGGCGTGAACCAGCGGGTAGAAGGCTTCTCTCTCTCTGCCTCTGCCTATCAAATAAATAAATCAATCTTTAAAAAAAAAAAAAAAGACATAATGATGCTTGGTAAGTTTATCAGTCTGAGTTTTTCTATTTCTTATGCATTTTCTTAGCAAGAACAGATGCCAATATTCCAACCAATTTAATATAAAAACTCTCTTCTTCTAAAAGAGTTTGTGATTAATTTTACACTCACTACTCTTTTTTTTGTTTGGTTGGTTTTTTTTTTTTTTTTTTTTTGTACAGGCAGAGTGGTCAGTGAGAGCGAGAGACAGAGAGAAAGGTCTTCCTTTGCCGTTGGTTCACCCTCCACCCTCCAATGGCCGCCGCAGCCAGCACGCTGCAGCTGGCGCACTGCGCTGATCCAATGGCAGGAGCCAGGTACTTATCCTGGTCTCCCATGGGGTGCAGGGCCCAAGGACTTGGGCCATCCTCCACTGCCTTCCTAAGCCACAGCAGAGAGCTGGCCTGGAAGAGGGGCAACCGGGACAGAATCCGGCGCCCCGACCGGGACTAGAACCCGGTGTGCCGGCGCCACAAGGCAGAGGATTAGCCTAGTGAGCCGCGACTCCAGCTCTTCTTTATTTTCAAACATACATACGACAACAAATAGATGAAAAAGTTTTATATATATATATATGTATATGTATATATACATATATACACAAATACACATGTATATATAAGTGACAGTAAATATACACACAATACAGCCTTAAAAATAAAATTAAGAACATCCTACCATTTGCTGTAACATAGAACATAAAGAATTGTATACTATAAGAAATAAGCCACATAAAAAAATAACAAATCTACATGACCTCTCTTATACCAAGGAGTCTAAAATAGTGAAACATGTGGAGGCAGAAAGTAGAGTAATGCTTACCGCAGACTTGGTAGAAAGCAAAGCAAGGAGGTAGTCACCGAAGGACACATAGTTTCAGTTGTACAAGATGAGTAAATCCTAGATTTCTAGTACCCAGCATCATACACTAGTACTGTACAACAGTGAAATTGTACTGACACAAATATTAAGAGGGAGTATTTTAGGTTAACTGTTCTTAAAACCAAAACAATAGAAAAAGTAGAAAAGAAACTGTTGGAGATAGCAGATATGTCCACAGCATGGTTTACAGTGATGTGTCCACGAGTGGATTGTCATCTTCAAATTTATCAAGTTGTATGCATCGAACTTGTGCAACTGCTTTGGATGTCAATCATCTCAGAAAAAAATTAAAAATTAATATGATATGTTTAAAACTATCTCTATTCCAGTGTTTACCAAGCTACTTCTCTTTAAGTCTTTGGCTTTTACAATCTGCACCACACATAGATTTTATATAACCATGTAGTATCACATGTGTAGTTATGAGTTATCTCATCAAAGTCTTGTTTTTGTTATTTTTTAGTAGCTTTTGGTTTTGTTTCGTTTCAAAGGGTGAGACATTTTCTTATTCTTTCTACAGTGCAGTTCAGCATTGCACTGAGGTACATTATCTAGAGTTAATTCATCAGATTTGGACTTTGGCCAAATGCTAAGTCTATTTTTTTTTAAAGATTTATTTATTTTGCTTGAAAGTCAGAGTTACACAGAGAGAGAAGGAGAGGCAGAGAGAGAGAGAGAGAAGTCTTCCATCCACTGGTTCACTTCTCAGTTGCCCACAATGGCCGGAGCTGTGCCAATCCAAGGAGCCAGGAGCTTCTTCCAGGTCTTCCACACAGGTGCAGGGGCCCAAGGACTTGGGCCATCTTCTACTGCTTTCTCAGGCCATAGCAGAGAGCTGGATAGGAAGTGGAGCAGTCAGGTCTTGAACCAGCACCCATATGGGATGCCAGCACTGCAGGCAGCAGCTTTGCCTGCTACGCCACAGCACTGGCCCCAAGTCTATGGGTTTGAACAAGTCATTTGACTTTTCTGAAGCTCACTTTTCTTATCTATATGATGAAAGTAAAATAATTCTTACTTTTATGTTTGTTAGGAAGACCTTTCTCTCTGTCTCTCTCTCTCTCTCACTGTCCACTCTGCCTGTCAAAAAAATAAAAAAAAAATAAGTATAAATTAGCAAGCCCACTAAAGCGGAGCAAAGTGCCTGCCATAGAATCATCCTTCAAAGCTGCCTTCTCTGTTGCTTGCATCTTCTCACGGTTATTATTAGGCCCACAAGGCCTAACACAATATTGATAACTTTAACTACTCAATTCTAT